TGCCTACCCCTTCTCCAAGGTCAGGAAAGTTTTCTTGCACAGGTTGGGCTGGTTCCTTACCTCTCAGTCAGATGCACTCCGAGACTTCGAAGGAAGCTTCCAATTAGTTGACTCTTACGACATTTTTAAGGTTAGGTAGTCGGTCTGTTCTTGTTTTCCCTATAACAGGGCCTCGGAACCCACATAGGGAAAATTCTGGGTTCAAAAGTTGGTATCGTCCTGTACAAAAAATTGGGGGGGGGGGGTGGGGGGAGGGTCGCTCTTCTAAACGTGGAGAGTTGTGCAAATTGCAGCAAGTGTTTTAGCTAGTTGCTGTGACAAGTGCTGACGGCAGGTTTAGCTTCTTCTGCTGTATTCGCCAATAAAAGGACGCTTGGCCCTTTACATGTGTCGTGCTTTACAGGAGGCTGTGATCTCAGCGCCTTTTGATCTATAGCACATCCGATTTCAGCAACCCCCTAAATAATCGCTCTTTGCCACATACATATTTTATGGCAGTGGTTCTTCCCTGTTTTCCCGCCAGAAGTGGTCCCCAGAACCCACACAAGTCTGATTCTGTAGATATACCCTAGATTTATTATAATCTACTGCTATGGATTACTGTAGCTAGAAAAGTGCACATTCCAATGCTTGTATTGAACAATTTGATGCTACTGTTAATGATTTCTACTACTTGATGTGTAAATGAAATGATGCAAGAAAGGAGGGAGATTAGAAGGGCATAATGGTCGACGGGCCTGCATGCTCAATTCTTAGGTCTTTGAAAATAAAGGTTGTTACATCAGTCGTTTGTTCCAGGTCACTTTATACCTGGGACAGAGCTCAGGTCGCGCGAATTAGACTCCAGTGCGGATTAAGTCGCGTAATTAACGACCCGCGACTCGACTCTGGGATGTGTCCAGCGACTCGACTTGCGACTTGGACGACTTGGTACTGCTCGTTCCTCAGCCTCTCCTTTTATAGATCGACCCATATTTGTATCCTGTCAGGGCTGCTACTCAAATTATGACTGTACCATCCTTAGATTATTTAAAAAAAAAAAAAAAAAAGATGTTAGTGGAAACGGCAGGCCCACAAAGCAGAACACATATACATTTGATCTCTAAAGAAGTTATAACTGGTTTGGTTTGGTTTGATTTAAAGGACGGATCAACATCATGGCACAAGGGTAGTAACTTATAAATGCTGCGTTCTACTTACGATCCAGCGCAAAGCACAAACTTCGTAGCACTGGCGAGGATCCTGAAATACCTTAAGTAGACTTTTAACTCAAAAATGTGTCCGGGCAGCGCCATTATGCTACTCTTTTTTGATTTCCCACTGCCAAGGGATTTTTTACGTGCGCAGCAGGACACAAAGGCGTCCGATCTTGCTACCCAGAGACCAGGGAAAAATTACTAGAGGTCCATAGAAACAAATCCCAGGCTTCACCGGGGCATGAACCCTGTACTTACAGCACTCCAGGCGGACACCATGCCTCAAGACCACGCAGCCGCCACTGTGGCACTCGTACCGGCATCACCATTCAGATGTGAACTGTAGTCCCTTACAGTTAAGGACGTCCTCTTTCAGGTTACAGTTGTGCTTTGTATACCATTGATAAGTGAGCCGCCCTGATGTAGCTGCTAGACGCAACATTTTTCAAACATGACCTTGGCCTAAAGTGGGTACCAAGTAAAGTTCTGGGAAGAAAAGGCGGCCGGTGGGATACTGACCACATCGCCCACCCAGTGCCAATCGGTCTGTAAAAATGTAGTTTTGGCCCTGTATGCCCGAATGTGTGTGAAAAGATCCTTTAATATTACTTTCCATTGATAAGTTTCATCCATGACGTCATTGTGAGAGATAGACTCCTAGCTGCAGTATCAGATATTGATTGAATTCTCTCCCTTTCATTAAAAATGAAACGGCGGAGAGAGGCCATGACTTCGCCACTCACGCGGAAGGCGGGGGTTTTTCTAAAGATCCCAGTCCCCACACATTCGGATAAATATATGCTGTCACAGTCTGTTCCTCGGCCTAAAATGGGCCCCAACTAATGATCTTTCAAGTCTGGTACGATGATGCCAAGTCAATAAAAAATATGCCTCCTCCTCCTCCTTCTTTTTCTTCTTCTTCTTCTTCTTCTTCTTCTTCTTCTTCTTCTTCTTCTTCTTCTTCTTCTTCTTCTTCTTCTTTCTTCTTCTTCTTCTTCTTCTTCTTCTTCTTCTTCTTCTTCTTCTTCTTCTTCTTCTTCTTCTTCTTCTTCTTCTTCTCCCTCTTCTCCTCCTCCTCCTCCTTCTTCTTCTTCTTCTTCTTCTTCTTCTTCTTCTCTTCTTCTTCTTCTTCTTCTTCTTCTTCTTCTTCTTCTTCTTCTTCTTCTTCTTCTTCTTCTTCTTCTTCTCCTTCTTCTTTTTCTTTTTCTTCTTCTTCGCGTTCACCGGCTGTAAACTCTGGCGGAAAGTTCTGGTTGTTCATCCACCTCTGGATTTAAGATTTGTTCTAGAACCTGAATATTGCGTGTACATCCGTTTTACAGGTCTGACTTTTTTTTATCTAGACTGTTGGTTCCTCGCCTGTCATGCAACTGCACTCCGACTTTGACAGAAACCCCCCCCCCCCCCCCCCCGCTTTTTTTTTAATCCCCTCCCCAATTGTCGACTCTTACGACCTGCTTTTTGGGAAGCAGTGGGTCTGTTATTATTTATTTTTCCCTACAATGGGACCTCAGAACCAACACGGGGAAACTTGTTTACTGTTTCCTTTCTGCCACTCTACTGTTACATTCAACTGCCCTAATTACTTCCACTGCTTTAGTCCCAGTCACTTACTACTGCCTCGACCCAACTTCATTGTACTGTATTGCTATTTCTCCGGCTGCTACTTTTGGCCAGTTGGATTGGTTTTATTGCTATCATACCGGCTAGTTACTATTTTCGCCTAGTGTAATTACATTTTATTGCTATCTTACCGTCGTTACTATTTTCGTCTAGTGTAATTACATTTTATTGCTATCATACTGGCTAGTCACTATTTTTTTTTAAAAATACATTTAATACGTGTATATACTATTGGCTTTGCAGAGGCCGCAGTCTGTGCAATAAGACTGTCAAGAATCTTCTCTTCCTCTATCCCTCCTTCCACATATATTTCCAGTGGTCACCACATGCTCCATTTTTCCTCATCTTACAACAAGGCCGAAAAATGATGACTGTCTCCTTTTGATGTCTGTGAGGAGTTGTCTTCGGGCTCTCGCCTCTATCAAAACTTCTCTATCTTCTCTATCTTCTCAAAACATGGTTGCTTTTTTTTTCTGGGTATTTTGAGCATTGTTCTGTAATACCGTTTACCTCGGTTCGATGTTCGTTCACTAGTCTTCCTGTAGTGAGCACTGCTCGACCCAGTTCATTGCTGGTTTGCCAGCCTTATTGTAGTAAGCACCGCTCGCCCCAGTTTGATGCTCGTTCACTAGTCTTCTTGTAGTGAGCACGGCTCGTCCCAGTTTGATGTTCGTTTACTAGTCTTCTTGTAGTTAGCACCCTCGCCCCAGTTCGATGTTCGTTCACAGTCTTCTTGCAGTGAGCACCGCTCGCCCCAGTTTGATTTTCGTTCATTAGTCTTCTTGTAGTGAGCACCGCTCACCCCAGTTCTATGTTCGTTTACCAGCCTTCTTGTAGTGAGCACCGCTCGCCTTGGTTTGATGTTCGTTCACTATGCAGGATATTTTAAGCATTGTTCTGTAATACCACATCTCTGAGGTTTCAAGAAATTGTTTTGCCTGCCTACCGATTGTCCAGGACTTACAGCCATTTGTTAAAAATGGATGTATGTAGCAAGCGAGAATTATTTTTCTAACCTTCAATGACAAAGATATATTGCATAAGATGCTCTTCATTTTATAAAATGCAGTATCCATGTGCCCAGTACCTTTTTTAAAACCACTGACTATTCGGCCGAATACCGAATAGTTATTAGTCCCCTATTGGGCCCTGAAGCGAATACGAAGCGAATATTCCAGCCCTTGCAACTTGATTGATTCAAAATCTACATGTCTCCCCCCCCCCCCCCAATCTCTTTTTTTTCCCCAAGTTCAGAGCTTAATATCTCCCGGACCCTCTATTCACCCCCTGTTTGACCTATTCTTCCATTGTCTGGATTCTCTGTCTGCTCTATAACACTGTCTATCCACTTAACCCCAGAGTGCCCTCATCACGCCCGCTTTACCACGGCCAACTTCATTTTAAGCATACTATTGTATTTTTGCCAGAAAGTAGTAGTAGTAATAATAATAATAATTAGCACTTAAACAAGACTCAAGCCCTACCCCTAGACAATTATAAATAGGCTGCGGACGCCCCCACCCTTTTTTACACCCCAATAATTGTGTGCGCGTGTATGTGACGCGCGCGTAAGCGTGCGCACAGGGAGAGATTGGGGGGGGGGGGGGCATTCCATGTTTTACGATCGGGGTAATTGTCTAGTGCAGTGATTCCCCAACTGTGCGTCGTGCCGTCCAGGGCAGCCGCGACCTCTTCACGGAGACGCCGCGAAATATTCGAAGACACACTAGTTTAATTTTTCTTATCTCTTACATACGAATAGGTCGGCGTCTGTGGCTTAGGCGTTGCGAACTCACTTTATAATGCCGTGGTGCCGGGTTCGATCCCTGCTGCGGGCCTTGCGCCATGCGTTGGTTTCTACAGTAGTATCGAAAAGCCGACCGTCCAGGAGCAGTGACAAACTACTGGACGTAAATTTGTCTAGAAAAAAAAAAGCCAACAGCCAAAAAAATGCTTGGGTTGGCTCTGCTACGTCCTGTAAAGAATATGCAACTAACTAACATACGAATAGTTATACTCTTACTTAGGTTAGGGCGCCATAGAAAATATTTAAATTGAGAAGGAAAAAAAGGCGCCACGATTAAGAATAGTTTTGGAAACACTGGACTGGTAAGTTGGCTGATGGTGAAACGAGTTGATTGATTTGGTGTTGATGTTTGCCTTCTTTGTTTTCTTTTGCAGAGCCAGAGGACATGGGTGGAGAAAACGTTTTGCAAGCGGGAATGTATCCTATATCTTTCGTCTCGTCCCACCCTTCTCTCTCTCTCTCTCTCTCTCTTGCTCTCTCTCTCTCTCTCTCTCTCTCTCTCTCTCTCTCTCTCTCTCTCTCTCTCTCTCTCTCCTGATCAACCCAGAAAAGGCAAACGTCCTGTTGTGTTCTGTGGACAACAGAAATGTTAGAGCTCATGCTCCAAGCCACAACATAAATGACAGGGTCATCAAAAGAGTCAGCAGTCTGCGGTACCTGGTTATCACCTTTGACAGAAGCTTGTCTTTCAAGGATCACATAGAGGAGGTTGTGACAAGAGCTTAAAAAAAGAAGAATGCACTAAAGATTATGGCAGCAATAGACATGGAGCACAAAATACTGATCAAACCACACTAGCACTTAATCATCTTACTAACTGATTATGGATTGGGTTTACTGGCTGTCTCGAAGAGTCACCGAATGAAGCTGAAGCGCATACAAAATGATGTTATGCTGGTGACTCTGGGATGTACAAGAGACACCCCGATTGCGTGCATGCGATACATCTTTTCATTGCTGACTATTGCAGATAGGCTAAAGATGCTGCAGGCCAAATCATATCTCAGAGTAGCTGCAGGCAAAAAGCATCTATATATATATATATATATATATATATATATATATATATATATATATATATATATATATATATATAAAGCTTTGGCTGCAGTTTAGGGTAAGAGGCTAAAAAGACAATGCGGATGTGGTCAAGGCCCTTTGGGAAGAAGTAACAAAGTCAGAAGAGAAGTTGGATTATTATGGCCTGGAGAAAATTATGCACCTGGGTGTTCCCAAAGGTTGTGGCCGGCACATTGCACTCAGAGGAGAGGCAAGCCGGATATATAACCAGTCTACAGCTGGTACCATTAGTATTGGGACTCTGCGCTGGTGGCTGAAGATGGAGACGGAGCGCAAATGGGAATGCCCCGAGGGCTGTGATGTCGGTTCTTGACACTCATCTCTCTCTCTCTCTCTCTCTCTCTCTCTCTCTCTCTCTCTCTCTCTCTCTCTCTCTCTCTCTCTCTCTCTCTCTCTCTCTCTCATCTTTCTTATTTGTCCATTATTCATTATCTTCACTCGTGGAACTTTTCCTGCTTTTTCTGTCACTTTTCTCAGTCATTCCACACCTTTCGATTTACTTTTCTCTCTCTCTCTCTCTCTCTCTCTCTCTCTCTCTCTCTCTCTCTCTCTCTCTCTCTCTCTCTCTCTCTCTCATATCTTTCTCTATCTCTATGTATGTTTCAAATGTCACTACTTTTCTCCATATTATATCTATCTATTTAGCTGTCTATCTATCTATCTATCTATCTATCTATCTATCTATCTATCTATCTATCTATCTATCTATCTATCTATCTATCTATCTATCTATCTATCTATCTATCTATCTATCTATCTATCTATCTATCTATCTATCTATCTATCTATCTATCTGTCTATCTGTCTGTCTGTCTGTCTGTCTGTCTGTCTGTCTGTCTGTCTGTCTGTCTGTCTGTCTGTCTGTCTGTCTGTCTGTCTGTCTGTCTGTCTGTCTGTCTGTCTGTCTGTCTGTCTGCCTGCCTGCCTGCCTGCCTGCCTGCCTGCCTGCCTGCCTGTCTGTCTTTCTGTCTGTCTGCCTGCCTGTCTGTCTGTCTGTCTGTCTGTCTGTCTGTCTGTCTGTCTGTCTGTCTGTCTGTCTGTCTGTCTGTCTTGTCTGCCCGTCCGTCTGTCTGTCTGTCTTCAGAGTTTATAGGAATAACATGTGAATGGTATTTGGCTTAAAACGAAAATGAATCACTGGCATGTGATTCTAGCTCAGATTTGTGTAGACCAGTCGATACTCGATAGGCGGGTTGTCAACATAACCAAGGCCGCCTCTGCTTTCCCAAAACTTTACTTGACACTCATTTCAGCCTGGACCCACCTGGGAACCGGGATTATTTTGAACAACAAAAATCCCCGAATTTGGTGGGGACTCGAATCGATGATCTTCGTGCTGGCTGCATCTAGCCGCTACGCCACGGCGGCTGTGTGATGCTGTAGCATAGTCCCAGTAACTAAAAAAAGCCTGATGTATGGGTCTGGTGACTTCAGTGCGCGCTGTGAAACCCGTCTCTTCTTTACTTTTTTGTTTCAATTATCTAATCACAGATGTCAGATTGTTAGTCATCATCAGTTTAGTCTTTTAAACGAAGTTAGGAGATTAGTGAGGGAATGAATGAATGAAGGAATGAAAGAATTTTCTTCTCCCCACTCGGGACAACCTCACACGCGCTGTTTTTCGTTCTTCGGTGGCCAACGAAGAGCCGGCATGCTAATGATACCATCGATTAATTAAAGATTCTCTTTTTGTTAAGTCGGACTGCATCAGCCAGTCTGTCAGCATGCTAATTACCCCGTACACTCGAATCTCCTGGACAGAAGATCAACAAGCCACTACACAGATGTCGCCAGTTTGTTTTCCGTAGCGTGCTTTGTGAGTCCGTTATAATGTCAGCATGTCGGGCTGTACTGCTCTCAAGCCATCGGAAAGATGCCGATACTGCCTCGAATGATCCTCGGCTTCTGGGTGAGGGAAATACATTAGCAGAACTGGATGTTAGGGAGTATGTAGAGCACATTTATTTAAGGCATGGATCCTGGAAGTCTCGACTGCGGGCGATGGGCGCAGAAGTCAGCACTGGAAAGTGACCATGCATTCGGCATGAAAGAGGAATTGGCCAAAGGTCAGGAAACGGCCATGCAGAGAGTGATGTTCTACAACGGGGGCTGCTGCACGATGGTGATGCACAACAAGCAATCATTTGTAGATAGTATCCTTCTCGCCACCGACTTTACTTCCCATAACATTCCCTGGAGTACACTGTAGGCAGGGAGTCCAGTTCGTTAAACCATCGTTGCCTCAAGGGATTCAAACTTACTATCTGGCAAGAAAGCACGGGTGCTCGGCTTCGTGAGAATATTATATCCTTCTGAGGAGCAAATTTGTGGGTCGAACTACCCTTTCACAGGGGTCGCCAATGACCATCGGAAAACACATATTCACTGAAGTTACGAAATAGCAACGCAAATAATTATATGGTTGGGGGTCGCCACAGCATGAGGAACTGTATTAAAGAGTGGGCGCATTAGAAAGGTTGAGAACCACTGAATCAGAGGGTTATCACGAAACAGAAAGAAAGGGGAGAGAAGAAAAAATACAAGAACGGAAAGATCACATCACTAAATACAGGCGGGAAAACAACATATTCCATTCCACTATCATGGCGACAGACAGAAAATTGTATACATCCATTGCTGCCTACTTCTGTTTCAGATAGTAACTTCGGACAATACGATGGGTTTGGAATAATGGGATTGAAGGTCTGTCCGCCCGCTTGCGATTATTTATTGACATCTCTGATTGAATTGTGATTGGCTGTCCTCAAGTTAACTGAAATGATCGCTGCCTGCCTCTATTAATGACGGAGGAGTATTTCTACACAGTGTGTCGTTTGTAAACCTCTGCTGTCAGAGAAGAGGGGAAGAGTGAACGAAAGAGAGAGGGTGGAAAATGAAATGTTTTTAGTGGCATCTATATATGAAAAGGAAGTCGCCATCGTGAAGCGGCTAGACGCTCGCCTGCGGATACGAAGGTCGTGGGTTCAAATTCCAACTCCTACTGTAAGAGAAATAGGTGTGTGGAGGGGGAGAGACGTTTTTCTATAAATGAAAAGGAAGTTATCGTGGTGTAGCGACTAGACACAGGTCGACCTAACCCTGAATGGGTACCAGGTAAAGTCATGGGAAGTAAAGGCGGCTGGCGTGATGTTGACCACATCACGCACCGAATACCGATTGGTCTGTACAAGTATTTTTTTTTCCAAATATATATTCACCCGCGGCCCCCCAAGACAGAGGAATGTTTCGCGGCCCACCTGACAGTCAACCGAACACAGAAGCAAATGTAGATAGCAATAGTTTTATGAAATCTGACGTCACTAAATTATCATTTGCAGCTAACTCGGTACATGCTGCTGCTCACAGGTTAGAAAAACTACGCGGTTTAGACGGGTTTCCGAGATCGGTACCTGTTTTACTTTCATCCTTGATGTGTTAACCCTACAGACTGAAATCCTGGAAGATTAAAAACTGCCTACCCTACACCGTATTAAATGATTACACATTCAAAAACTGGACGGCCCATTCTGACTTTCCACGCTGCCCTCGCACGGGTTGAAGAACATTGGTCTATATAATATTAGGTAAAAAAAAAAAACGTTGCTGTCCCCATTTACACACTAGCTCACTTATGATTAGTCGACCTTCAGCCTAGCTCACTTCTGATTGGTCGACCTTGAGCCATGTGATTTTGGCACAATGTGACGGGGGGTGTTCCCCAGTACCATTGATATCGCGTATTCTATGTTTCAGCATGCCAGCACTTTTAACACTCTAAAAACATCGACAAACTGGGTCTAACACAAAACCCATTAGAGAGTGATGAAACCTATGTCACATGTATTTTCTTTCTCTGAATAAAAACGTAAATGCAGTACATCACAGAAAGCAAACAACAGAGCGGCACACCCGTAACGCCCAGCAAAGTTATAAATGGAACGTGACCTACTTTCTCTGTGGAGACTATTGTAAAACTAACCTAATATATAATATATAGCCCGATACGTGTGAAGGCGTGGAAAATTATTCTTTCTTGCTTGTTACTTAACAATGGAAAGATGGAGGGGAAAAAACGGCACCACTGAGCCTAAATATGGCTCAATAGGGCGCCGACTTGCACCATTGAAAAACTGCTGCGTTATGTGGTTTTACCAGTCGATGAACAAAATTAGTCTTTGCTGCAAAGGCACTTTCAGAATTTAAAAAAAAAAGTGAATAGTTTAACACAGTGGTTGGCAAATCGCGGCTGGCGAGCCTGAGTCAACCTGAGTCTGGCTCGGTCAGTCGGCCACAAATAGGTTTTGACTAAAAAAACATGGTTCTTTAAAAGAAATGTGGCTCTCAAAATTTTTT